CTCCAAAGCAATACAGAGAAACCCTGTCTCAAAAGACAAAAAAAAGTCAGAAGTCCCTTTATCAGGCTCTGAGATATCCGTGAATCATCTTCCTGTACTTACTCAGGAACAATATAAATAGTACAAACTAAACCTAAAAGGTCAACAAGATTCAGTAGGCTAGAGGAGTTGGCAACAGATCAGATATTAACCCTCTACCTATTATATACTCAGGCATGGCACACACCGCAACAAAGTGAGATTGACTGGAGCCACCTCTTCCCCACACAGGACTTTTGATAGGCAAAGATTGAGATGGAAAAATGTTAAAAGAATGAGGTGTCAGAACCTCCCTTTCTTAGAAAAGTTAGCTTGTGCAGAGCCTCTGTGGTATCATATGATTAACGAACAAAAGAATGCCAGGATTAGACATATGAATAAATTCTATAAAGATAGAAAACATAAACATTGTATTATGCAAAAAATAATAACTGCAGCAGCTTCCAGATAATGGTGACTCATGATTTTAATCCCAGCACTTAGGAGTCAGAGGCAGTCTGGTCTCTGAGTTCACGGCCAGCCTGGTCTACAAAGTGAGTTCCAGGACAGTCAGAACTTCACAGAGAAACCCTATCTCAAAAAACCAAAATTAATATTAATGATAACAATTAATAAATAAAATAACTGCAGCAGTTTTGGCCTGAGGATTTTCCTAGGGCACTCTTACCATTAATAATATGCTGTGTGTATTATTACAAACTTCTTGGGTTGGCTTGGAAATTTTCTTTTTCTGTCTAGCATCCTTGAAGTCATAAAATATGGCAGTCTGAGAATGGGCTATAATATGCCTCTAGATTCTTAAATTTATCTTGTGGTTTTGATGGGTAAAAATGATTGTAAAAGACAACTATGTGTATCAATGGTGGCTAAACTCATGACCCTAAGTGAACAAGAAAGTGAAACACAAGTCTGGAAACAAAAATGATATGATCTATGTTTTGGAATAGCATGAATCTATTCATACTTACTAAATTCTGCATGAATAAAGACATACTCTGACTGTTAGTTGGGCTGTGAGAGTCTTGCCAGCACTGGGGCCTGATACACTCCTTTCCTCACTTACTCTTTGCCTCCTTTCTAGAATCTGCCCATGGCCAGGGGACCTATTGTTTTTATCTGTGACACAGCAGCTGCACCTGATCCTGTTAATGCCATAGCTATCTCAGTAGCCTCCACCACCAACTTGCTGCTGAGGCAGCAGCCCAGGGGAGCCTGCCCAACATCGCCTCAGTTGCCTCAATGTAAGGAGGCAAGTGTTGTTTTAACTAAGTTTCTGTCTTTTTATTTTACCAATGAAGATTTGGGAGCCAGATGCTGGGGTGAAAACCTGCTAGCTCAGAGAGGCAGAGAAAGCAGCCAATTGACCTTCCTTTCTCAGCTGTTGTCAGAAAAAGAGCTCTCTTCTACTCCAGCTGGATAAAACAAACAAACAAACAAAACCCTCCTCCAACCAGATGCCCCCCTTTTACTTCTTATGCCTCTCTCTCTCTGATCTCCTGACTTCCCCTTACTCTGTGGTTACTTCCAGTCAACTGGTTGCTTGCTCCACCTTGTGACCTATGGTTTATTTTATTTAAATAACACAATCTCAGGGTTCACAGTGTGACCAAATATCCCTCAACACGCCCTGCCACCAGCACTTTACAAACCCACTAGTACTTGGTTTGTGCCCTGTGTAAACAGAATGTCTTAACCAAGCACAGCAAGATCACAGGATAGACAGTGTAGACACTGTCACAGGAAGCATTCAGAAATGAACTCTGAAAAGCCTAATGTGGAATTTGCAAATACAGACATAAAGAAGAGCTCTACTAGCTATTTCTTCATATTCTTCTTAGAAACTGTGAAAGGCTCTTAATTTGTATTTTTCACTTCCTCTGCTACCGGTATTTTATAAGAAGTTGGACTGTGTGACAATGACCTTTGTGTGTGGTTTATTTCAGTATTCCTGATTAGCAGTTGCTTCTTTTGGTTAGTGTACTAGTTAGGTTTTTTTGGTTGTTTTTTTTTTTGTCAACTTGGCACCAGCGAGAGTCATGTGTGAATAAGGAACTTGGTTGAGAAAATTCATCTATCAGGTTGGCTTATAGACAAGTCTGTGGGACATTTCCTTGATTAATGAAAGATGTAGGAGGGGCCAGCCCACTAGGAGCAGTGCTATCCCTAGGGCGGTTGTTCTGAGTTGTATAAGAAGCATGCTAAGCAAGTAAGCCAGTAAGGAGCACTGCTCTGTGGCCCCAGTGTCCCTCCCTGACTCCAAAGTCCTGCCCAACTTGCCTTGGGGATGGACTGTGACCTGAAATATATAAGCCATATAAGTCTCATGGTCCCTAAGTTACTTTTGGTCACAGTGTTCATCACAGCAAAAGAAACCTAAGTAAGACAGTTGAAATACTTCCTCAAAATCATCTGTGGAATAAAGCTATAGATTATTTTCAGGGTCAATATCAATATCTTCTTAATCGGTAATGTTAAGGACTCCAGAGATGCTTCTCATGTTTGGATCCAGCATTGCCTTTGTACTTTGTCCAACTGTATAACTTGGAACTGGGTTTGAATTTTGTGCCAGCCAAACATTAAGGAGAAAGAATTAAAAGAAATAATTAGTCCTATGCATACTTATATACCTATTTAAAATCATTAACCCAAAATTCATGTAAAGTCTGATGTTGATTGGAGCAATATGCACAGTTAAAGTTAAGAAATTTAAGTGCCTACCAACAGATAACTAGTACAGAAAATGGGGATTGGAATGCTACTTACCTTTAAAATGCAATTGTAACAATTTGAGAAACATCATGTAAAGTAAAATAATCCAAACCCAGAAAGACACATATGTTTCACTTACATGTGGATTATAAGCAATTGACCTTCAGGCAGTATAGTGTACACTAGTGATTGCCATGGCAATGGGGGGGGCATGACACATATGGACTAAGAGTTCAAACTCTATTAAACACAAGAAGTAATTTTTTTCCTTTGAGATAAATTGTACAGCACATTCAATCCAGCTCATATTAATACAGATTTCAAAGTTTCAGAGAATACATTTAGAATGTGTTACCATAAAATGATGCATATTTGTAATGAAAGATATCACATAATTTAGTTTGTTATAATTATTTAATAAAATTGTTCATTGATCATATTAGTTTTATGTCTTCAATATGTTGCCATGGGTTCTCAATCTACAACTATAATATCTAAAATAATCAGACAAATAATTGGATGTGGCACATGTGTTTAAATATAGCCAGAGCCATGAGGTTCCCTTTCTAAATTCTTGGTTTTGTTTTTAGAAACATATGAAAATAAGGACAGATGGAACTTGAGGTCAATTTATTGGAGACAGGGAGATGGAGAATTTCCTGAGCACCAGGGAGTGTGTTTGTGTGTGTGTGTGTGTGTGTGTGTGTGTGTGTGTGTGAATTTCAGAAGAATGGAGAGAGACAAGGTTGTGCCTTTAGTAAAGTTAACAGATGATCCTTGAAAGCAAGATAGGCTTATTAGGAGAGGAGGAGAAACCCAGGTCCTCTGCTCTATGGTTGGTCATGGGGTATCCAGGTCCTCTGTTCTATGGTTGGTCATGGGGTGCCCAGGGCCTCTGCTCTATGGTTGAACATGGGGTGCCTAGGTCCTCTGTTGTGTTGGGACCTTTGAAGCAGGGCCACAGTTGTGACCCAACAGTCCCAGAAGTTGTCATGTAGCCCAGGCTGTGAGGCCCCCATCATGCCATCTGTCTTAAAGGAATCTGACATGTGTATCCACGAAACAGATAACTGCAGAGGGCATTTTGTTCACCGTCCTCCTGCTTACCATCCCCTATCACACGGACACAAATTATTTCTTCACAAATAAGCATGACTGAATTCATTTTTGAGCTCTTTGGAAACCATGCAGGAAGTTGTTGGCCTATTCTAGGGATAATCAAGGCTTTAAAGATGTTTCCACAGTCCATGTCTGTAGTAAGCTGTTGAGTGGGGATTCCCCCACTGTTCCATATTTTCATTCTTATCCTTCTGAAAATCAATTCAGCCAACTGAATATGAAAACCTCTGGGAGTTTTATTTGTCATTATGTTTCTTTATACATCAGGAAAGATGTTTATCAACTTTGTTAGTTAAATTGAAGTGATGAGTTGGGCTTCCATGACTAAATACCACAGATCAATGGATTTAAAAGTAAATGTGTCTACACAGTGCAGTGTGAGAGTCTGAGGTGAGGATTCTCTCCCAGGTCTTCCTGTCTGACCACCTCCTCTCAGCCTTGTCATGGCAGTTACTACATTTCTGTTTCTTCCCATGATGAGGACAAAGATCTCAGCATGGGACTCCATTGTCATGATTTTTCTAAAATCAATTGGCTTCTAAATTACATACTCTAGGATACTATATTAAGGTTCATTATCCAGTTGTTGCATTTTACAGGACACACTTCAATTGATAGATGCCACTGTGGAGACAGAGAGGAAAATAATCATGGGACCCATAGCACCTGGTCTTTTAGCCAGACAGTTCCACATTTTCCTTCTTTATTTTTTTAAATAGTTACTTTGTTTTTATGTGTATAAGTGTTTGTCTGCATGGATGTATATGTACCATGTGTGTGCCCCGAGACCTGTGAAGAACAGAAGAGGACATCATATCCACTGGAACAGGAGTGACAGATTGTTGGGACCCACCATATAGGTGATGACAAAGAAACCTGGGTGTCCTTTGCAAGACAGCAACAAGCTCTCTTTACTGCTGAGCTGTTTCTCCTTTACTACTACTACTGCTTCTGCTTCTGCTTCTTCTTCTTCTTCTTCTTTTTCTTCTCCTCCTCCTCCTCCTTCTTTTTCTTCTTCTTCTGTAAGAAAAATCTATGTGATTTTATTTAATCTACAGAACAATCTGTGTCATAAAGAAACATTCTTAACGTAGAATTTGCTGTTTGCTTTCTCCTCCATTATCTCCTGGCAGAGTCGTCTTGCTCCTCATGCTCACAGCCTTGCAGTGTACCACAAGCTTGTCTACTGGGGAGCTCTTTGTGACTGACAGAGATCTCTTTCTGTGAGTAGCTCCTGCCCCAGGAGCAGGTGTCAGCGGCTGATGATCAAGCTGATTATGTTCATAGTTGGGCCTAGCATGTTATATCATGAATTGTCAGTAATTCCCCCTTTCTTACTTATTTAGTTGAAAATGAACACATTATGAAATTTTGGGTTTATTATGTGGTGTCATGATTTTTGAAGTATGTAAAGATATTATTGATATTAATGAAACCTGGATGGGAAATCAGGAGCAGAGGGGTCTGCTGCTCAGAGAAAGTTTCAAATTTGGAGTGTGATCACCAGAGCTCAGTGCTGCAGACAACACAGCAGGAGGGCACTGATAATCACAGAAAATTTGTGAGCCCCACAAAGAAGATGTCAGGGCTTTCATGGACAGCACATTGGAGCTGGAGAGGTACAGCTGTGTAGTAATGAGAGCGTGCACAGCCTGGGGATGGAGGGGTGGGAAGAGCCAGACAGCAGCTGTGTAGAAAGAGCTGTTTATCTCCTGTGTTTTTCACACATGGAAGAACCTGTGCCCAGTGTCCTGTGCTTAGGATTCACTGCTCACAAAGATGGCAGAGATTTGCCCCAAGTACATGCCAAGGAGAGGTAACATCAGAGAGGAGCTGAGGGCCTCACTCAGTTGGTAGAGTGTTTGCTTTGTGTGCATGAAACACTGTGATAGATTCATAGTACCACATAAACCTGAGCATGGCAGGTAGTCCTGTAATGCCAGAAGTAGAGACAGGTAGAATGGTCATTGTTGGAAACATGTGGAGTTTGAGGCCAGCCTATAGTAGTGGTCTATTCTCAAAAAACAAACAAAAACAAAAAAAGAAAAGAAAAGAAAGAAAGTAAATCAGAGTTACAATGAACTCACTAGAAGGGGAAGAGCTTGGGATTTGGAGGGGCCAGGAAGGGGAAGGATGAACTTGGGTATCTGGTAGAGAGTAATGGTTATAAAAGAGACTAATGAAGGAATACATGTCCTAAAATGAGAGTAGTCAAAGAGAAGGATGTAGTGTCCTGAAGTTGCACTCTGACCTCAGAGTGACAGTGTTGCCTTCTTCATAAGAACTGGAAGGACACAAGTCTCCATGACCTCGGAGGTGAGGTATGAATGAGTTTCTCCTCAGGCAGCCAGTTCCAGAGGGGGTAAGACCCTGAGGAGAGTGGGTTCATCAGACTGTTCCCTGGAGGGGCTCTTGTGTGCCCAGGGTGGACAAAAGAGGGGAGAGTTCTTTGATGGGAAGAATCAAAGTGAGAATGTCATAACGATGATGGCCTAGAGATGCTGTCCCTAAGGAGGGGACCTGGAGCACAGGGGACACTGTCCTGTTAGGCTCCCTGTGGTAGCAGAAGTCAGTATAGCCAGCATCTCACCTGTGCCTTCTGAACTAATTTAAGGATTATAACATGATCTTTGTCTTTGTAGACATGAACATACCAGTGGATACTACAGAGTGTCATCATATTTCCTTGGGAAATTGCTGGCTGAGCTGGTACCCAGGAGGTTATTGCAAAGTATTACCTTTACTGTTATAATATTCACCATAGCAGGTAAGAAACAAAACAAGAGAAAGGGTCTTTACCCTCGGGGGAGCATGTTTTGGTTTGTATAACTGTGGCAAGCCTGAAGTAGAAAAACATATGTAGAAAAACATGTCTCCACTGTGTGCTATCTAACACAGGTGTTCAGTGTGAGGAAAATCAACAAGTCTTGTTCGTAAAATACTAAAAATCTGTTTATGAAACCATTTTACTAGAGTTTCTGTGTAATATAATGACTGAATAAATAACTTATACATTTGTGACAAAGACCAAAATCAATTATTTCATATCTAGCTATATGTATTGTAAAAGATTTTTCTTTTATTTTTGTATGTGTCTGTGTGTATGTGTGTGTGTGTGATTGCACTAAGAGAAATCAGTGCCTAGGGAGGCCAAAAGAGGACATCAGATCCCCTAGAAAGAGAGTTAACAGGAAAATGTGAGCAACCATGTGAGTGCTGGGAACTGAATCCAGGATTTTTGCAAGAATAGCACAAACTCTTAACCACTAAGCCATCTCTCTAGCTCAGCTGTATATTCTTGTGTGTTTCTGTATAAGTTTCTACATGTAAATAAAATATAGAAAAGTATGTACATGTTTGAAAAATTATTTAAATCTATACCTTGCCTTCCTTTAGCATCTTACAAAGAGAGAAGACAGTTAACTTGAATTTTCTTGAAATTATATAATATAAATATTATTTAAATATGTGTAAAGATTCATTTGCGCATTATTGTTATGCATCATCCTATACTGTTTATAATTTTCATAATTTTCACACACACCAACACAGACACACAAACACATGCATACATACACACAGACAGAAACACAACAGACATGCACACACATTCACAGATACACACACACTTTCAAAGACAAACACTCATAAAGCTTAGAGTTTGTATTATAAGTAAGAGATTGTCATTCAGAACCAGTCATTCAGGCCATGAGATGGTTTTGGGAAATGTCCTTGTACTATAAGCATGACAACCTGAATTTGATCCTCAGAATTCACAGTGGAAGAGAGACTCACTCCAGAAAGTTGTCCTTCAACTCCATATATACACCATGACACATGCACACCATGATACATGCACACCATGGCACACACACACACACACACCATGATACATGAACACCTATACTCACACATGGTATTATACACACCATGATAATGATTAACAATAACTTTGAAAACAATTAGGCATGGAACTCAGCTCCCCCAGACTCTAACTTGTGTCCTTTTGACTATTAGAAAACACAACACTGTGGGTGAGTCATAGAATAAAGATTACAAATCAGCTCATGGAACCCATTGTCTTCCTCCATAGCAGATACATGGTGATTTCCTAGGGAAATCTAAAGTTGGAGGCACCATCCTGTCCTCTGGATATTAAAACCACTGCAAGGTTACTTAGTCCTTGCATTACTTAGGTATCTAGAGCTATGATAAACACCACGAGAGGAACCAAGTTGGTGAGGAAAGGGTTTGTTTGATCTTACAGTTCAGTGTACTTCACAAAGGAAAGTCAGGGTGGGAACTCAGAGCAGGAACCTGGAGGCAGGAAGTGAAGCAGAGGCCATGGAGGGTGCTGCTTACTGACTTTCTCTTCATGGCTTCCACAGCCTGCTTTCTTATAGAACCCAGAACCACTTACCTAGTGACAGCTTCATCTAAAGTTGTCTAAGACTTTGCACATGAATCATTCATTAAGAAAATGCTGGCACAGGCTTGCCTTAGAGCCATTCTAATGTAGGCATTTTTTTAATGAGGTTGGACCTTCCAATAAGATCCTAGCTCGTATTTTATTGACAGAAACTAACCAATACAGTCCTGATCCCAATATGTTTTTTACTAATGCAATTATATAAACACAGGGTAATGAGGACAAGAATGTTTTCTATTGGTAATTCTCCAGTGAGAGAAGGCAGGAGAATTTTAGCCAGTTGCGTTGCTTGTAGCTCTCCATGTCAGGATCTCATAAATTGCATATTGTAAGCATGAGTTTTCTAGTCCTTCAGGATCCCGCCGCTCTTTATCCCCAAATAAAGACATGTTAATTATGAAACTGTTGGCTGGTGGCTAGGGTTTTTATTGGTTACCTTTGTCTTAATTATTAATCTATTTCTATCAATCTATGTATTTCCACATGGTCTTTGCTATATTAAAGTTTAAGTCCTTCTTTTTATTTAGACAGAAAAGAGGAGATGATGGGAGAATGTCTTCTGTTTGTATGTTTTTCTTATTAGTTGATGAACAAAATGCTGATTGGCCAGGCAGGAAGGATAGGTGGGGCTACCAGGCAAAAAGAATTCTAGGAAGTGTAGGCAGACAAGAGTCGCCATGTAGCTGGTAAAGAAGTAGTAGTTGTGGGCCATTCTCTGGTAAGCAAAAACCACAGCATACCGTCAAACAGTCCAGGTAAGAGCAGCTTCTTGCCCAAATAGCTAGTCTTCCCATCTGCTCCATGGAGAGAATAAGACCTCCCCTAGGAAGTCTACTAAGTCTGTCCAATCATCTCATTGAGGCAGGACCAAGGCACCTCCCTCCACCATCTCCCCATTCCCCCACTCCCCACCCCCCACCCCAGTGTATAGGCTGAGCAAGTTATCTCTCCATATAGAATGGGCTCCACTAAGTCAATTTGTACATTAGCGTTAGGTCTTTGACCTGCTGCCTCATATATTGTTCCAGTCACACCATTGTCACCTATATTAAGGGAGTATAGTTTGGTTTTATGCAGGTTCCCCATTTGTCAGACATGAGTCAGTGATCTCTCACTAGATCGGGACAGCTGATTCTATGGGTTTCCCCATCATGGTCTTGACTCCTTTGTTCTAATTATTGCTCCTCCCTCACTTATATTGTACTCCAGGAGCTTGATTCATTGGTTAGTTGTGGATTTCTGCATCCACTTCTACCTGTTTCTGGAAGAGGGTTCAAGCTTCTCTGGGGTTATGGATTGTAGACTGGGTATCTTTTGTTTTATGTCTGGTATCCACTTATGAGTGAGTACATACTATATTTGTCTTTCGGGTTTGGGATTACCTCACTTAGGATGATTTTTTTTCTAGTTCTGCTCATTTGCCTGTGAATTTTAGGATGCCATTGTTTCTTACCACTGAATAGTACTCCATTGTTTAAATATATCACATTTTCTTTATCCATTCTTCAGTTGAAGGGCATCTAGGCTTTTCCAAGATCTGGCTATTACAAATAATGTTGGCATGAACATAGTTGAACAAATGTCCTTGTAGTGTGAATGTGCCTCCTTCAGGTATATGCCCAACAGTGATATTGCAGGAACTTGAGGTAAGTTGATCCCTAATTTTCTGAGAAATCACCATACTGATTTCCACAGTGGCTGTACAAGTTTGCACTCCCACCAGCAAAGGAGGAGTGTTCCCCTTTCTCCACATCCTCTCCAGCATAAGCTGTCATTGGAGTTTTTTATTTTAGCCATTCTGATCGGTATAAGATGGAATCTCAGAGTGGTTTTGATATATTGAGGTCTATGATCCATTTGGACTTGAGTTTTGTACATGGTGATAGATACAGATCTATTTGCATTCTTCTACATGTTGACAGCCAATTATACCAACATCATTTGTTGAATATATTTTCTTTTTTCCATTAAATGTGTGGGCTGATATCAGGGACTTCAGTTTGATTCCATTGGTCCACTTGTCCATTTTTCTGCCAATACCAAGTTGTTTTCATTACTATAGCTCTACAGTAGAGCTTGAAGTCAGGAATGGTGATGCCCCCAGATGATCCTTTATTGTACAGGATTGTTTTGGCTAGTCTGGGTTTTTTGTTTTTCCATATGAAGTTGATAATTGCTCTTTCAAGGTCTATGAAGAATTGTTCTGGGATTTTGATGGGAACTGCATTGAATCTGTACATTACTTTTGGTAGGATTGCCAGTTTTTATTATGTCAATCCTACCTATCCAAGACCATAGGAGATCTTTCCATTTTCTAATATCTTCTTTAATTTTTTTCTTTAAAGACTTGAAGTTCTTGTCATACAGGTGTTTTGTTTGTTTGGTTAGAGTTACTCCCAAGATATTTTATGTTGTTTGTGGCTATTGTGAAGGGTGATGTTTCTCTGATTTCCTTCTCAGTCTGTTTGCCATCTGTATATAGGAGGGTTACTGATATTTTTAGTTAATCTTGTATTCTGCTATATTATCAGTTGTAGGAATTTTCTGGTAGAAATTTTGGGGTCACTTGTGTATACTATCATATCATCAGCAAATAATGACAGTTTGACTTCTTCTCCTCCGATTTGTATCTCTTTTTGTTGTTTTATTGCTATAACTAGAACTTCAAGTCTTTAAAGAAAAAAAATGTTGAATTGATATGGAGAGAGTGGACAGCCTTGTCTTGTTCTGGATTTCAGTGGGATTGCTTTGAGTTTCTCTCCATTTAGTTTGATGTTAAGCCTACATATATTTTTAAACACACTGTAAACCATTTAGAAGTTTTACTTCATCTGAATTTATCTTTACTGTATATCTTTATCTTTTTCTAAACACATGGATCTTATTTGCTCATTAACACCACTTGATTGTTTGGTGAAAGAGTTCTGCACTTTTTGCTGCTTTTGCTGAATCAGGAAACCTCCCTTAAAAGAGCCAACAGGCTCTGCTTGCCTCACCTGAGTAAATGCTGCTACCAAGAAGCCGTGCTTGACCTCATTCTTTTGTTTTTAAAATCAATTTTTAAGCTTTTTCCAGGGTTTACATGGAAATTCTCGCAACCCAAGTTGCTGCTGCCATTTTGTAAGCATGGGTTTTCTGGCCCTGCAGGGTCCCACTGCCCTTGAGCCCCAAATAAGCACACACAAAGATTTATATTAATTATGAAGGTATTGGCCAGTGGCTAGGATTTCTTATTGGCTATCTCTGTCTTAATTATTAATCCATTTCTATTAATCTATGCATTCCCACGTGGTCTTGGCTTACTATAGAAGGGCCCAGAGCTGCTACTTCTTAACCAGCTACATGGAGATTCCTATTTGCCTATACTTCCCAGAATTTCTTTGTCTGGTAGCCCCACCTATCCTTCCTGCCTGTCCAATCAGTGTTTTATTCATCAACCAATAAGACAAACATATATACAGGAAACATAACCCCATCTGCTCATAATTGTGCATAAAAGAGAATAGGCAAAATGTGGAAAGGTATTTTATGGCAAGTATAAAAATAAAGACAGGTAGTGAGGCTGGAGAGATGGCTCATTGGTTAAGAGTCCATGCTGCTCCCCCACAGTCTGCAAATTTGGATCCCAGCACCCACATCATCAGGCAGCTTTCACCGCCTGTAACCACAGCTCTAGGAGATCTGATGCCCTCTTCTGGCCTCCAAAGGCAACTGCACACATTTGGGATACATTAGCACAGACACTTTAATGCACACATGAATAAAAATTGAACAAATCTTTAAAAGGAGAAACTGTATAACAATTTGGAAGGATGCAATTAAATGGGACCCAGAATAATAAGCTGGTTGTAAAATTCCTACTAGACTCTTTGGTGATGTAAGTATTTTTGGAACACTGGACTGACCCAACTTTTTTCTTTCTAAGGAGTAAAAACAGATGTGAATGGTTTCTTCACTATGATATTTACTGCCATGATATTGGCTTATTCTGCCAGTTCTCTGGCCCTGTTGTTAGGGACAGGGGAGAATGCAGCAGCTGTACCAACACAAATCATAATGATCTATTTTACGTTCATGCTGGTAAGTGTGAATTGAGTTTATCTAAGAAAAACTTTTGCTGGTGAACATTATTGCAAATGTACATGCTTGACACATTGGTACTCGGGATATGAGGCCCTACGCTGAAGCTTATTATGGTCTGTAGGAGAGATGAAGCAGCCTTTCCTCCCAGGCTCTGTGGCTACTGCTCTGATGCCAGTGATTAACATGCCCTTTCTAGCGAGCTCTTAACAGGCATTTCCTGGGATCATATTGCTAAACCATAATGAATTGGAACTTTAAAAAGGTGGTATGATTTGCTGATTGCCCCACAACAAGACAGATTACAGCTTTCCTTTCATGCTGGTGTGAGTGACTTGCATGCTGTTTTCACCTTAGCAGACGTGCTATAGTTTGTTCAGTAGTCTCTAATGGGGAAGCAAAGGCCATGAGCCGTGTAAGTGTTCAGCACAAGGAGTCTCATGGCTCACCTTTGTTCTGCAAAGGGTAACTGGAAGAATCCAGACCCCTAAGTACTAACCACTCTCCTGATTTAGCATACTTCTGCTCATCTGTCTGTAATTGGTTACCCAGCCTTACTCTTTCAATGCCATAAACTACACATAGGTGGAGGTGATGTTGGAGAGGTTCTGGGACCATTGGGAGGTAGGGACTTGATGGGGAAAGTCTGTGCCTGGGTGGGGGGAGGAGCTTTAGATGTTTATAGTCTTGTCCCCCTTCCTCTTCCCTCTATGCTATGCACTATGAAGATGTGAGCATTCAGCCTCCTCTCTCACTTCCTTGCCTGTTGCCTGCTGCCTGCTGCCATGCTTCCCTGTCAAGATGGCTCTTCTCACACTGGAAACCTAAGACAAAGGAACTCTCTGTTCTACAAGTTGCCTTGATCGTGGTGTTGTACCACAGCAACAGGAAAGTAACTGCTACGTTTCTGATCTCTCTCACCACTGTCGCCTCCCTGTCTCTTTCTTTGTTTTCCTTTTTGTAAACCCCTGGGTCTACTTAGCCCTGCCCATGTGTGTCTGTGTGTAGGACCATCTACTGGAACATGGAGAGGCTCTCATGGGCCACATCCTTAAAGAAAATGGGCTCTCCCACTCCCATCAACTTCCAATAGTTCCTCAGCTAGAGGTAGGACTTCATGTCCACCTCTCCCTTCCATGCAGGGATTTTCTCCGGCTTGATCTTGTACAGGTGTTGCCCAAGTTGTCACAACTAACCTCTCTGCATTCAAATGTGTCACTGTCCAGTTGTGACAGGAAAACACTGTCTTGTAGTAGTTGTCCACTGCCTCTGGTTCTTACAGTTTCTCTAGCCTCACTTTCTTGATTCTTGGTCCTTGGGAAGAGTGGTGTGATATACAGATCTTCTGTAGTATCTTGTCTCTATGTAGACCTGTGGTGTGGTGGACCTGTGTTGATCACCTTGTTCTGCAAAAGAAAGCCTCTGTGATGTAAGTCTGAGATGAACTCATCTATGGGTGTCACAGCACCTCATTAGACATCAGTTTAATACCATATCCATTTAGAAGAATAACAGTCAGTAAATTTTCCTCTGGGCCCTATGACCCTACTAGCCACAGCATAAGACATGATTCTATCTTGTAGAGCAGGGCCTAAATACAACCAGAAAATGAATGGTCTGTCACTGCTGTTGCAGCAGTCTGTTCAGTATCCCCCATGTACTTCCTCCCCACAAGGAAAAGAAAAGCAGAAATCAGTCAGGTGGGGTGGCCACTGTCCTTGAGCATACTTAAAACTTCACCCCACATCTCTCAGAGAGTGAGGCAGAGGGAAGACCCTGGAGTCTGGCAGGCACAGCTCAGCCCTTGCTGCCCTTGCTGTCCTGACTTTCTTGGGCTCTGCTCACAGGAACCATAATCTACACATGTGCAAACTGTGTGCCCTGTGAACTAGCAGAGCAGCCTATGTCAGACCCAAATGTTCTGAAACAAGGAACCCAAACCCACAATTAAGACACCAAAGCCATTTTTTCAAGGCCCAAAGAACCCTTTCTGCACATTGTCTACACCATTGATTTGAAATATTTCTCTTTACTATTCTTCTGTATCCTGATGATAAAGAGTTGATATTTTTCAATACCTACTTTCAATAGTGAAGCACTCATGCCCCACAGAAGTTTTTAAAAGTAAGATCAAAGATGTAAAGGTTAAGTGTTGGCATGGTGGTGCATGCCTTTATTCCCAGCACTCAGGAGGCAGAGCCTAGCAGATCTCTTTGAGTTCAAGGCCAGCCTGCTCTACAGACCAAGTTGCAAGACAGGCCTACACAGTGAAAGTCTGTCCTCAAAAACAAAAGAATGACTTAGCTAGGTATGGTGGTGCGTGCCTGTAGTTCCAGTACTTGGGAGGTGGAAGCAGGAGAATCAGAAGGTCAAGACCATCTTTAGTTACACTGAGTTGCCAATCTAGAGTAGGTTTCTTTGCATTCTGGAAACAGCCATCCGTCTTAATCTTCATATATTATGAAAGTTGTAAGGGTCCAAGTAAGTTTATTTAAGAAATGTAAAAGATAAAATTTAGAGATAAGATATATGATATTACAATTTGTAAGTCAAAGGTCAATATACTGATGTCAGACATCTGCTTAAATAAGTAGAGTTGTCATGGGATATTGTCCAACTCATGGTCAGTTATAAACAGTGGCTTCTATATAGCTAATTTCATTTATCACAGATGCAAAACATAAACACATGTAATCAAGGGAGTTAACTGTGTTTTGCTAATTTGGTTAGACTTAAGTTTCCATCTTGGCTTTTCTTGATGATAGAATGTGGTCAAGATGGGAAAGCCAAATGTCCTTACCACCCCATGGGGGATTTGCCACTTTCTGTGCTGCTCTTCACCACATTGTGTGGTTTATCAGTTCTAGGCTTGAACTTGTTTGAAAGTGATATTTTAATTGAATCCAAAATTACTCCTAATGTCATGAAGAGAGAGTCAAAACTCTTAAGAAATGAGACTTATTGATCCTTGGAAGTAGAAATGGGCATATGATATTCAGTATTTGTCCTACTTAGGGTTTCTATTGCTGTGATGAAACACCATGGCCCAAAAGCAAGTTGAGGAGGAAAGGTTTTATTTGGCTTACACTATCATGTCACTGCTCATCATGGAAAGAAGTGAGGATCAGAATTCACACTGGGAGGAACATGAAGGCAGGAGTTGGTACTGAGGCCATGGAGGACTGTTGCTTACTGGCTAACTCCTCATGGCTTGCTCAGTCTGCTTTCTTATAGAACCCAAGACCAGCTTATCAGGGATGGCACCACACACCATGGGCCAGGCTCTTCAAGCCCATTGCATAGATTGTGCATAGATTACATGCCCTTTAAAAAATAAATAACTTAAGCATCTGAGGGTTTGGTTCCTGCAGAGTGGGGTGGTCAGTCCTGCTTTTAAAACCCACAGAGACCTTGGTTTTGCAGAGTGAAGGATTCTGTTTCTGTTTAGAGTTAACTGAAAGAATGATTAAAAGAGCTGGTCTGAGCAGACATGGTCAGAAGGATGAAGGGGACTTGAAGAGGAGAATCTTATCTAGAATTCTTAGTCACTGAACTGGTTCTAATTCTGTTCTTTGTAGTTTATCTCAGGTCTATCACTGTATTCCGTAACCTTCATACAGGACCTGTCATGGATTCAGTATTTCAGCATTCCTTATTATGGATTCACAGTAAGTTGTCCTCTATGTCACTGTACTTGGTTCTCCAACTATAGTGACTGAAATGATTCCCAACCAAGTCCTTTCCCCCAGCATTAATCTCTAACCAGATCCTGCTCAGAATTCTCCTTCCAGGAGCTAAAGATGAGACTGTCCTATTGGTTTTACCAAAGTCCAGTGAGTCATCTTTTCCCCAGTCATGTGTTATATGAGCGAAATAAAGGGTAAGAAAAATCCCAGGGTAAAAGGAAACATAGATGATATTATAAAAAGCATATAGTTGTGATTCTACACAGTAGGGAAATAGTGAAAGGATTAGGGACTGTGATATATAGTTTACACCAGGAAACTAAAAGAAACAGAAACCATGTGATTCCCACAGCCATACTGGCTTTGCCAAGCTTTCTAAGCAGTAAAGCGTGTCTTAACAGACTTTCTTACTCCAATAGTCACAAGAGTTTTTGATGAAAACAAGCAAGAAATAGTGTTACTGTGAATCAATAGTATTATTTCAATTACAGTGTTGACATGTTTATGAACTGGGCAGAGGAGGAGATGCTTGAGGTAATCCACTTAGAGTTCACCTCTTAGTAGTTTGGAAGATCCTTATTTTCCATCCTAAACCTCCTGAGTGGGGGAAACGCAGACTAAACTTGGTGGGGATTCTTTCTTTAAAAATATTTTTGTAAATTAGAGTCAAGAATGAATTTGAAGTTATAGCTGTGTTTATTCTTTGGAAACTTATAAAATATTAAACTATTTGTCTTTCCCTGATTTTGTTTGTGTTACAGGCTTTGCAGCACAATGAATTCTTAGAACAAAACTTCTGTCCAGAACACAAAACAGCAGAACTTAGTAGATGCCCCGACTATGTAATGTAAGCTTGAGTCCAGGATCACAATGGGGACATAGAATGCACCTAGATTTGGAGGGGAAACCCATCCATTCATGATTAACACTCTATCCTCTGCCCATTCCCCACAGTGAGTCATTGTAACCAATGCACATGTAGCTGTGTTTCCATCCTACTGCTCTGTGGTGTAGACAATGTGCAGAAAGGGTACTTTGGGCCTTGAAAAAATGGTTTTGGTGTCGATTGTGGGTTTGAGTTCCTTGTTTCAGAACATTTGAGTCTGACATAGGCTGCTCTGAGAGTTCACAAGGCACACAGTTTGCACATGTGTAGATTATGGTTCCTGTGAGCAGAGCCCCAGAATGTCAGGGCAGCAAAGACAGCAGGGGCTGAGCTGTGCCTGTCAGATTCCAGTGTCTTCCCTCTGCTTCACTCTCTGTAAGACTTCAAGAAAGCAAAGGCCAGTGTGTGTGTGTGTGTGTGTGTGTGTAGGTGAAAGGTGTTAGGTATCTCTGTGTCTGTCTGTGGGGAGGGGAGGTTGGGTGGGTAAAATGTCCTACCAGAAGATATGTACTATAATGAAACAAGCACATATTTCAGTATATTAAGAAGGAACTCTAATGTGATGAAAATACCTTCACTTTCTATTATTGTTCTTTTAGATTTTATTTTTATATATAAATGAGAGAGGAACATACTGATATGTTAAATCTCTCATGCATATCCAAAATAATAGTGAATAATAATAACCAGAATTATGTTTGAATTACTAATAAGAGAGCAAGTGTTGTGGGGGTAACTTACTTCCCACATCTCCTCTGTGCTGGTGTGGTCTGGCATCCTTCCGATAAAATTCTTTACCAGTGTATGGTTAGGAGGATGGGGATGGGTAAAATGAAACCAGGGCAGGCTGTACACTGACCTCATACTCACAAAAGGATTGCCCTCACACGAGGAAAAATATGACCTTACAGCAAATTTGGGAACTGCTAAATCCTAAGGGATACAAGGGCTGGAGACACACAGGGATGGAGAAGCAAATGCTTCATCCATGCCTTTATCCTTTGAAGAGACGGCATCACTGTAGATTGAGAAATAGATGACATGTAAAGAGAGGGAAGACTACAAAGCTGGATCTTAGTGTGACTCTCTAAACTCACCCAAGTTTACTAAGCCTACTTCCTCTATGTTTTTAAATAAATGTGACAGCTACACTTCTTTGGATGGTTTTTGAAATTAACAAAGAGACATGATTCAAGTAGTTTAGATTTTATAATATATAATAAAATAGTAAATTCATCATTACTGACCTCAAATATAAAGAAGAAAATTTTATTCATGTGTTGAAACTATGAGGTTTTAGGAGAAAGGAACAGTGAATGTACTGAACAAATTTTGACATTATTTTTATTTGTCTTGAATTACAGATGTACTGGTGAAGAATTCTTGACAATCAGGAGCATTGATCTCTCACCCTGGGGTTTCTGGAAGAATCTCGTGGCCTTAGTTTGCATAACGATCATTCTCTTATCAATGACCTGTATAAAACTATTAGTTCTTAAGAAAAAGAGACTCTTTAAAATTGCTCTTCCAGTTTCTTTGAATTATTCTTAAAACAATAATAAAACATCCTTTGTGTTTTGTTTTTTCTTTTCTTGTAAATCCAGTTAAAAAACCAGCAATTGGGGTCTTAGGTTATATGATGGAAATTTTCTATAGTTGTTTAGGGAGATGTGATTCCAAATTATTATAAAGGTTCACACTCACACACATGGACAAATGCTACAGCCAGCATTACCCAGAAGAGATTCCCATGTAATGAACTGTGATGAATGCAGAGACTCATGACTGCTCAAGAAACCGGAGTTCAGTGACACTTGAGTGCTTCACCCTAAACAGGACACAAATGCTACCCTCTCTAAAGCTTAGAGCTGTGTGGAAGAGGGGTGTAAGGATACATGAGCCAGAAGATGAGAAGAAAGTATAGAAATGCTATATTGTGGGCATGACACAAATAGTCATTGCAACCATGGTCTGTGTCACAACATCTATGGCTACCTACACAAGATGGAGTCTCTCATCAGCACAGTAAGAGTCAGAGAGGGACTCAACAGGACCACACTCCCTTCTGCTGAACTATTGCTATTCGTAGACTATGGAAGACAGACTGTCTCTGGTTTCACACTTACACTCACAGGAGAGCAGCTAGACTCCAGTGGATAGTTTAAAGCCCAGGGTCCCACAGACAGATCTGTTTAAACCCGGTGGATCATGAGATAATACCCAGATATGAATGTGAGAAAGGGACTCATACAGAGATGTATTTGAAGGGGTTGGAAGGGAAATAAGAAAGTTGGGATGGAGTGAGAATGGTTGAAATACATTTTATACATATATGGAATTGTCAAATTTTTAAAACAAAAATTATAAATATTAAAAAAGGAAATTTTGCATACCATATGTAATGAAGACTTTTTCCTGTTTGGTTTCTGTTATGCTGTAAATCAGCAATGGTTAATTATCTTTTAAGGTTCACAAGACAATAACAAATTACATTATAAAATAAAAGGGTCTAAGCTCCAAGCTCCGTGAATGATTGTTGCATGACAAACTGGACTATATCAATATCTATGTCTCCCACTAAATGTATATTTTTGTCTATTGCTGTATTGTCAGTTTAATCTACCCTAACATATTGAATACAATTTCAATAACATACTGGACTTTCGCATGTTTTTGTTTGTTTGTTTGTTTGTTTGGTTTGGTTTGGTTTGGTTTGGTTTGGTTTTTTGAGACAGGGTTTCTCTGTATTGTGTTGGAGGCTGTCCTGGAACTCGCTCAATAGACCAGGGTGGTCTTGAACTCACAGAGATCTGCCCGTCTCTGCCTCCGGAGTGCTGGAATTAAAGGTTTGTACCACCACCCGGCTCCTTCGCATGTTTTATAAAAATTCTGCTGAAAGGACAGAAAGTCAGATTGCTACAGGATTGTGGCCTCTGAGAGACTCTCACACTCCAGTAAATGGCCCAACATTTGTGCACATAATGGCAGCTCTAAGTGGACTCCCATAAAAAAATAAGAGACAGAAAGAGAAAGGGAAAGAGAGAATTTGGACTGACAGCTAATGTTATTAAGTATTGCATGCTAGTTCATCTCACATATAATAATCATGAGAGGCAATCAATCAAATTATTTGACCTGGAAAAGGAGAACTTGTCCTAGAAAATCTTGCATTTTTTATGCTTTTACATCTTCATTTTTACAGTGAGAACATAATGTATCATCCACTAAAGAAATCAATCGCAAGCCATTATCTGGTCCATAAGCAATGTACTGATTCTGTTTTAAAAGCATGGTTCTAAAATATGCTATAATGTGGTACATTTACACAATGGAGTATTACTTAGCAGAAAAAAACAATGGAATCTTGAAATTCGCAGGGAAATGGATAGCACTGGAAGAAACCATCCTGAGTGAGGTAACCCAGTCGCAAAAAGACAAACATGGTATGTACTCACTCATATATGGATTTTAGACATGGATCAGGATAGTGCCAGTCTGCACTTCCACTGATAGAGAGTCTGGGAAACAGGAAAGAACCTAAAAGATATGCATATATGCATAGTACCCAAGAGAAGAGGATGGAGACAAGATCCGCTGAATGGATGGGGAACACGGCGAGGGATAGGGGGGTGGGAGCTGGGAAGAAGAGAGGGGGAGAAGAGGAAGAGAGAGTAGGTCATGGGGGAACAGGAAGTTGAGTGGGTGGGGGTAGAATAGGGGGAAGAGGGAATCATAGGTTAGAAGACAGATCAGGCACCAGAGTAACCTCTAGTGATCTAAAGGGATAACACCAATTGGCAAGCTAAGCAATAGTGGAGAGACCACCTCGAATGCCCATTCCTGATAATGAACTTGATGTCTATAACCATCCGGGAGCCTTCATCCAGTGATTAATGGAAGCAGAGGCAAACACACAATTAAGCACTGAACTGAACCTAAGGAACCCAGTGACAGAGAAAAACCTATGTTACTTCTAAGGTGTCTTCAGTCGGGTTTTGGAAAGATCAGGAGTCCATGGTCATCCATAGGTAGTATGTTTAAGGCTACCCTGAGTTACAAAGCAAAACAAAAACCCCCATGTAATGAGTGGCCATTAAAACGTCTTTGGTGAGCTCATTAAATGAGATTTATGAATAGTGTCTTTGCTAGAGTCTCTACTGCTGCAATGGAACACCATGACCTAAAAGCAAGTTGGGGAGGAAAGGGTTTGCGGTAGAATATTATTTTCAGGTGTGTGACTTTTGTTTATGCTGCATTTGTTTAACTCTGTGAAGCTGTGTTACTGTGCCTGTCTAAAACACCTGGTGGTCCTAATAAAGAGCTGAGCGGCCAATAGTGAGGCAGAAGGAATGATAGGCGGTGCTGTCAGGCAGAGAGTAGAAACGAGGGGAAGAACAGCAAGAGAACAGGGAGAGGAGGACGTCAGGGACCAACCACCCAGCCACCCAGCCACCCAGCCACCCAGCCACCCAGCCACCCAGCCAGCCATGGAGTAAGAAGGAAAGTAAGATATACAGAATTAAAAAGATAAAAGCCCAGAGGGAAAAGGTAGATGGGTTAATATGAGCAAATCTGGCTGTAAATAAGTCAAACTAAGGCTGAGCACTTATAACTAAGTATGAGCCTCTGTGTATGAGTTGTTTGGGAGATGGATGATGGGCCCCTCCAAAAGACCAAAAAAGGCAAAAGAAAAAACATAACACAACAAGGGTTTATTTAGCTTACACCTCTACATCACTGCTCATCACTGAAAGAATTCAGGACAGGAACTCAAACAGGGCAGGAACCTGGAGGCAGGAGCTGATGCAGAGGCCATGGAGGTTGCTGCTTACTGGCTTGATCCTCATGGCTTGCTCAGTCTGTTTTATTATAGATCATCATCCCAGTGTTATCACCACCTATGATGGCTGGACCCTCCTCATTGATCACTTAAGAAAATGCCTTACAGCTGGATCTCATGGCAGCATATCCAAAACTGAGGCCCCTTCCTCTCTGATGACTCTAGCTTGTGTCAACTTGTCATAAAACCAGCCAGTACCTTCGGATACTTCCCTTTAGTAATGCAGTGTCCCTTGAATCTTGACTGGTGGCTTTGGCTACAGCTGCAGGAAAAAGACAGGGTTCTTGTGTTATGAAATGACTCTTGTGCCATTTGGATCTGGAAAGTCATTGAAGCTCAGGGTTAACAAGAGGCTCTCCTGAGGAGCATTGAAGAGACACAGATGTTGGGGCCCTGGCTTGTACATCAGCATCTGTAGAAACTGCCTCTTGGAATAATTGCCCACTCCTAGATATGTTTGTTCTCAAGATCCTTTGCAGCCCTAGAGATTACATCTATGCTGCTGTATCTGTGCTTTCACAGGTCGTTATTTCCCTTGTGTTTCTATAATGTATATTCATAAGTTCTTCATTCAGTCTTTTCCAAAACAGAAAAGTACTCAGTCATATGGGTGTTTTTTTAAATTTCTTTTCCAAATTCTATAATCATCTCAGCTCTCTGGACTTTGGTTGCATTATATTTGGTATTCTGGAAACTTGTCTCTTTGGCTTCTACTAACCTCTTTGTGTTTCCCCTACCCTACTCACTTTCTTAGTATTTTTTGTGAAACATGTAGGAAGTGCATTTATTCCCTGAGACTGGATCCTTGACTCTTCTGATGCCTTCATCACAGCAAAGCTTCTCATTGAATCTCCTTATACCCTTCATATCCAGCCTCCTTCATGAACAGGGAATTCTGCAAACTTCTGCCGGACATCCTCACATGCACAGCAAGGGGCCCATTTCATGTTCCAATGGCCATGTAAGATGTAAACAATGGAGACAGAGGCCTTGCCTGATCTGCTGCAGTATCCTCAGCCATGAGAATAGCTCTTGTCCATGACATGGGCATGCTTCCTGCATGAGAAAACAGAGATTGCTCTGCTAGGCGTGGGACTTTCTTTAAGATTTCTCCTTAAAACTTTTCTCCCCAAAAGTACTTTCTCTGAAAACTCTCTCTTAAAGTTCCCTTTAGAAGTTCTTAAAAATTCCCCTAGATCTTTCTGAAAATTCCCCCAAAAGTTCTCAGAATTCTCTAAAGTTCCTTCTAAAAAGCCTCCAAAAGTTCCTTTCCATTCCACAAGGTTTCTAGTTTTTATATCCACAGGCACATTTAACAACTCTCTGAGAACAGAATAAGGTATGCATACTTTTCAGAGCCAGGAAGGCCAGTAAGATCTCGAGAAAAGCAGGTGCCTCATGTCCCAGGGGGAAGATGACTTGCAACTCATGCTGTTAACTGAGTAAAGGGACTTCTCAGCACTATGTCAAAGGGGAAAACTAAGGCTGTGGAGTGTGAGATCCCAGGCCACAGCTCTTACTGCTGACGCCCTGGTCAGAAGAAATTCCTTTCGCTGGGGCCTGTTTGAGAATACAAAGCACACAGTATGTATTCTATATGCAGCCAAATTCATAGTAACAAATACTCTGGAGTTGATACCAAGAATTTTAATTGCTATTTCTGTAATAAATAATAAAGGCTGCCAGCAATGCTCCATCATGTAAACTTTATGAAAGTGCTTGGAAATGAACCTACAGTTGCCTGCTAGGTAGACAAGCAGTGCCAACCCTGAGGTGGTGACCCTAGGTGCTATAAGAGGGCAGGCTGATCGAGCCCCATGGAGCAAGCCAGTAAGCAGCACTCCTCCATGGCTTCTGTGTCAGTCACTACCTCCAGGTTCCTGCCTTCAGTTCCTGCCCTGACTTCCCTGGATGACAGACTAGAAGCTGTAAGAGGAAATGAACCCTTTCTTCCCCAACTTGTTTTTGGTCATGGTGTTTTATCAAAATAGAAACCCTTACTAACACACCTTGATATTAACCAAGTATACAGGACATACAATAAGTTATAATGGTACAGTAAGCCTATGTCATAAGGGAAAAAAAACTCTTCCTTAAAGTTCAAAGATAAAAATGTGTAGCAATGTCTCCAGACTGATGCTGCAGAATATCCACTAGGTGCTAAATGACACTCAGAATCTTGTCACGGGGTCTACATTCAGTGATCTCCTAGGTCCCTTTATCTCTAAGTTTAATTTTTAATGAGGGAGCTTGCTGCATATCCCAAATTAGATCAATAGGAAAGTAGTGGAATTTGAATATAGTGTTCAGTTTAATGAAAAGCAATGTCCCAATGTTAATGTCAGCTTTAACCAAAGAACCTTGGCAAACGAAATTCTTACATAAATAAAATCTTGGCAAAGGGCACATGAGAATTTTCTGCACTCTTTTCCTACATTTTGTGTACACATGAAATTATTTGAAAATTAAGCCTATTAAGTCAAATGTAGTGGGATATACATGTAACTCTAGCAGGACAGGAGGATATGGATTTCAAGCAAGTTTGTCCTAAGGGCATGAGATTCTGTTTTGATAAATTAAGGATAAATAAATTGATTAACAAGGAGATGGGAAACCTGAATCCATGCCTACTGACATTAGAAGACAAAACTGAGCTGTAACTGGGCTCTGATGGGTACACTGTGTCATTTCAGGACCAGCACGTGGAGACAGCAAGTTTTTATTAGAGAGGCATGAAGGCCTTACTTGTGTTAGTCACAATCCATTTCCTAACCAAGAGGGGTGTTTCTAATGAATGTATCTTGGTTTAAAGTAA